ATATATATATATATATATATATATATATATAGTTGTTGGGGCTGGGATTGTGGCTCAGTGGTAGAGTGCTTGCCTAGCATGCATGAGGCACTGGGTTCGATCCTCAGCACCACCTAAAACTAAAAAATAAATATTTAAAAAAAACTAGTTGACATGTATATGGCCCAGATTATGTGCTCCTAAGTGATTTTTACAAACTTATTTCATTACTCTGTGAATTATATAAAGCAGCTTTTGCTCTGTGAATTATATAAAGCAGCTTTTCATCTTTGGCCAATGTTAGTGGATTTTACCTTCATTTTGCAGTGTCATGTTCAGGGAAACAAAATTCATTTTTTGATCTGCCCAGGAAAACCAACTAAGGGAGATTTAAAGAAACCACCTAAGGAGGTTATGCAAAATTGGAGGAGCATGGGAGGATAAGCAATAAGAGAAAGGGCGATTGTCTTGGAGCCAGATCCAGATTCTAGCTCATCTTAATATTTTACATGATGTAGTTAACCTTTCTTATCTTCAGTTTCCTCATTTGTGAAATGGCAACAAAGATTGTCATCTTGCTGGGTTGTTATGCTGTTTGAGATAATTTAGCACACAAGTGCCATGTAACTGAGGTGTTTGAAGTCACATTGCTAGTAAAAAGCAGAGCCAGGGCTGGGGATATAGCTCAGTTGGTAGAGTGCTTGCCTATGTGCATACGGCCCTGGGTTCAAACCCCAGTATCACTAAAAAAGAAAAAATCAGATATAGCTAAAGCCTATTCTTCCTTCATTATTTCACACTTCCATCCTGGAATCTGGCCTTTAGGAGCATAACCACAACTTTATCCCTTGTGTCCAAGTCAAACTTCCAACACCAACGAATTTTTGTGTGTGTATTTTTCCCTGACACTTAAGTTATTTTCCTCAAAATTGAGAGATGGAAGCGTCATACTTTCCTCTTGTTTTGACCTCTCAGGGCAAAGAGCTCCACTTTAGAAGAGTCAGTCTGCATTGTCCTGAAATTTTCTTATGGTTTTGGTTTTCACCCTCTTATACTAGCAGAATCTGATTTAAAATTGAAAAGGGAGGGGCAAATAATATGTGCATTTATATAAAATTCTGAACTGAATCTATTTAAAGTAGGTTTAAGAGAGGCCAGAGCTCCACCTTCTATTCTCATATAAGCCTCAAACAGAAAAAAAATTCATGTCATAGGTTCATGTCATGTACCTGAATCCATATTATGGCTGTTTTTATTTTTCATTCTCCTTTTCTCTCTCCAAAATTATAAGTTATCCCACAAACTGCTCTATTGCTTTCTGATTCCCCCTAGCACTGGA